ACACCGCTCGGGAGTTTGGCGGCACAGGGAGAGTTGCGGGGGCAGAAGCCATTGCCTCTGGTTGAGCACGGGGTACTCGTTATTGGGTTGTTCGATGGCATTGGTGCCATTAGGGTCGCAATGGATCTACAGGACGTTGAGGTTTTAGGATACATCTCGGTTGAGAAGAACCCTCAGGCCAGGCGTGTAGTAGAAGCACACTATCCCGGGGTGGTCCATATTGAGGATGTGGCGCACATCTCCGAGGAGTTGGTTCAAGAGTGGAGCCTACGCTTCTCTCAGTGCAGTTTGGTGGTGCTGGGAGCTGGGCCCCCTTGTCAGGGGGTCTCAGGACTCAACTTTGATCGGAAAGGCGCACTCCGAGATGAAAGGTCCTCCCTGTTCACCCACGTCTCTAGGGTGCGTGAGCTCATCCGCAGGTTCTTCCCTTGGGCGCAGGTTCATTGCCTGATGGAGTCAGTCAGCTCGATGGATGCTACCGACCGGCGGATCATGTCTCATGACTTTGGCTCTGACCCAGTTCACATCGACGCAGGGGGCATATCGTGGTGTCATCGTCCTCGGCTGTACTGGACTACATGGGATTTATGCAAAGGCGATGGGGCAACGTGTGATCTCTCTGGTGAGGTTACTGTCTGGCATCTCGTGGCAGAGCAGCCGGTTGAGGACGTTTTGGAGCCAGGGTGGACTAAGGCGGTGCTCAGCAAACCTTTCCCCACCTTCACAACAGCAAGACCTTCTGAGCGGCCAGGGCGGAAGCCCGCCGGGATTGCACATTGTTCCGAGGAGGAGTTGAGTCGTTGGCATTGTGATCTTCATCGCTTCCCGCCGTACCAGTATCAGCAGATCCACGCTGTTGTCAACAAGAAAGGCCAGTTGCGGGTTCCGTCGGTGGCTGAAAGGGAGGTAATGTTGGGGTTTCCCCTCCATTACACAGCCCCGTGTTGCGGTAAGTCCGAACGCAAGGGTGCTCATCACTCTGATATTCGGCTCACTTTACTTGGGAATACTTGGAGCGTGCCTGTGGTGGCGTGGCTACTCAATCAGCTGCTCTCTAAGTTGGGCATCTCCCCAGAGTTGAGCCCCCAAGCCATTGCCTTGAAATGTCGTGCCGATGGCAGCACTGCGCTCCAGGGACGGCTGGTACGCATGCCGATTCGGAGCGTGCCTCTGACTTCGGGAAGTGAGGCGCAGCTTGCTTTCAAGTTGGGGAACCTCATCAGTCTCAAGGGCGAGGACATCCTCATTTCGACTCCGAGTACGCAACTGGTTAAGTTCCATCGGCTACGCGCGTCAGTACCTTCACGCTTGTGGCGTTGGCGCATTGTCTCAGGGTGGAGGTGGACGAGAGGCCGAGAGCACATCAACTCGCTGGAGCTCAGGGCGATTCTCAACGCGGTTCGCTGGAGGGTGGAGCGTCAGCACCACCAAGGAGTGCGTATGCTGCATTTGACTGACTCTCTGGTTTGCCTACATGCCCTCACGCGTGGAAGGACCAGCTCTAAGAAGCTTCGGAGCTCTATGTCTCGGATCAACTCATTACTGCTTTGTTCTAACTCTCAGATCCTGTGGGGTTACGTGCACACAGATAGCAACCCTGCTGACAAGCCAAGTCGGTGGGGTACTCGCATCCGCGGTAAGCAGAAGCATGCCTAAGCGTGTGTTGGAGGGTGGAACTCAGCAGGATAGAGCAAAGATCCGTAGACAGCTAGGAACGCTTCGGCAGTTGACAGTGCAACCGGCTACTCGTAAGCGCTATGACAAGGCAGTTGACCATTTCCTCGGCTTCTTGCGCAAGGAAGGCATCGCATTGCCTACTGATAAGAGGAAGCTTGACCCCTTGGTATGTGACTACCTGGAACACCTATGGGCCACAGGGCAGGGCCGTGGCCTTGCATGTGATACTTTGGCTGGGTTACAGGACCTTCAACCTGGACTTCGTACACACATGCCGGCAGCCTGGAGGCTCCTGAAGACGTGGCAGACAAATGAGATACCCAACCGCGCACCGCCCTTGCCGGAGCATCTGGTCCACGCCATGGCGGGGTGGGCAATTTTTAACGGTTGGATCTCCTTTGCTGTCTCGTTACTTTTGGGGTTCTACACCATGTTGCGTACAGGTGAGATCTTGGGCGTTGTGTCCAGCCATGTGGAACTCGGGTCAGGCACTGGACAAGCCCTCGTGAACTTGGGATTTACTAAGGGTGGCAAACGCCATGGGGCTGCTGAAAGTGTAGTCCTAGGATATGAGCCCGTGGTGAAAGTTTTAAAGGCGTGGAAACAAGCTGGTTCCCCCAGTACTCGGCTTACGCCCTCCCCACCAAAGTGGCGAGCCTTGTTCAATTCTTGCCTTGAAGGCCTCCAAATTCAGGACATGGGGTTCCGACCCTATTCCCTCCGGAGGGGAGGGGCCACGTTTTGGTTCCAAAAGCACCAAAACTTAGACCGCATACTAGTTCAAGGTAGGTGGCACACACAGAAAAGTGCCCGAATCTACCTCAACGAAGGGTTGGCTGTCCTCAGTCAACTCAAACTTCCGACCTCTGATGCACGAATACGTCCCTTTTTGACTGTTTGTAGTAGTTTTTTCCGTCAGCCACGAATCACGTCACTTGAGCCTCCTGCCAAAGGCGGAAGGGCAGGGGGGCTTGGAAGGCACCCAAAGAGATCCAGAAAAGGCAAGGGAAAAAGCGCTTTTCGTTTCGTCCCCCTTTTTCGACACCCACGGTCAGTGCTTGATGCCTACTCAGTCTCGGAGGTGTGGCTCGGCTTAAGTAGGTCAAGCAGAGCGGCTCCCACCACCCAGGGTGTGGCCGGGTGGCTGGGACCGACTTTTCACTGGTAGGGGTACCGTGATCTGACTGTTGAGGTGTCATGACTAGTTGAGTTTATCAAATTCTGACAAAATCGCTGCGAAGTGGAACAAAAGAAATGAGTGCTGCATCTTTGTATTTTCGCCCCCGTAAATTAAGATGCACCTCATGAATGCCTGTTCCGCAGTGATCGTGGTTCTAAGCTCCCTCCCTCTGCCACCCTTTATGGGAACCGTTGATCAAAGAGATCCAGAAAAGGCAAGGGAAAAAGCGCTTTTCGTTTCGTCCCCCTTTTTTCGACACCCACGGTCAGTGCTTGATGCCTACTCAGTCTCGGAGGTGTGGCTCGGCTTAAGTAGGTCAAGCAGAGCGGCTCCCACCACCCAGGGTGTGGCCGGGTGGCTGGGACCGACTTTTCACTGGTAGGGGTACCGTGATCTGACTGTTGAGGTGTCATGACTAGTTGAGTTTATCAAATTCTGCATCTTTATATATATTGCGTTATCTATATTGTATGTCAGCCGCTACACGTGCCCAAACATCCATGCAAGGATTCCTTCAAACAAAGTGTGTTCGTCAATGTTAAGCAGAATTGTTTGCAGGAGCTAGTTGCAAACAAGCAACGACGTGACAAGAAGTGTTACAAGTAGAAGTGTTACAGAACCTCCTTGAATCAAAGCATTGCTCGAGATATGTGTTGTGTGTTGAGCATCGGTTCTTGGAACACAGGCGGTGTATTGAATAGTGTAGACCAACACTAAGGTTGTTAGAGCAATGCATAAATCCTACCAATTTTCTGTGGAACATTTTTGTGCAAAAGGTAACTGTCACACCAACTGTTTGCTCCAACTGCTGCTTCCAGCCTACACGGCGTGTTCAACATGCATTTTGTGCTAGCAAACCGCAGCGGCAACTATTAAAGAATAAAACGCTCTTTTGTGTTTGCCTTCCATGTGATTTGTTGAATTGACAGATGACGAGTTGTGTCACGATTGGCAGGTGCAGGAATGAACGAGGGGGTTTATTCATGAACATGTCACACGTCCTGCGAATAAGGCATTGAACAAACTCTTGAATAGATGATGTCGCACAAAATTGCGCATATATAACTATATATATATATATTATGTTATATTGTGTATTAAAGTTTATATGCGTCTTTAAGTCTTGTGGATTTGGCGCAGCACCCAGAGCCGCCGACTGTTTCATTTTCCCCACCCTCTACGCCAATACCTATCAAATGAGAGGTTCCTCATCTTCGCTTGCCAAACTGGGTGCTTGCAAGTTGCATCAGTAAGCCAAACGAGAAGTCAAAGCTGACACAAGCAGAAGGGGAACTCAAGCGTCATGGAGTGACGTGGTGTGGCACAATGCCATTGTGTACAGTTTGACGGTCAGCGAGGGCGCCATTGTTGCCCATCTGACTCGAGAGGACATGTGAACAAGTGTCATTTTGGTGGCCTAGGGGATTTAGATGTGCCCAGTCATCGGCTGTTTTAGGACCTCAACAGACCTTCAGGTTGGCTGTTGGGATGATTTTCTTGAGGTGTTCAGCCGTGCCCAATGGGGCCAAAACAACCACAAATGACCATTTTCACCCCTTCGAGGGAGGGGCCACTAGCCATTTTGGCAGACAACACCTCAGGAATCACATTTTGTCATGGCGGAGTCTGCACGCCGCTTTCAATTTGCTGCGAGCTGTCGTTTCAGAATGCTTGTTCCAGAGCAATGGACAACCAGCTTGTTACGGATCTATGCTTGTGCTCGGGAAACACCGCTGGCACTCAACATCGTAGCACAGCGGCATGCAGGTGTAGACAAGCTATGTAGCCATGGCTCTTTCGGTTTTGAGTCAATTGGACCCGCGCGAAGAAAATCTGAGAAAGCTTCATTCGCCTTTGCACAGTAGGAGCGACTTGCTGCAGTTTGGCCGCATATGTTACCACATGTAATTAGCAAAGGCAGGGCAGGGCGGGCCACCCAACTGTCAACAAACTCAGATTTGTGTGGACTGATTTTGAGAGCTGCAAACAAGCTTATCACGATGGTTGGGAGTCTTCAGTGGCATGGATTGGACTAAGCCCAGTTCTGTGTTGCTGATGTTGCTGTGGTCATGGATGACACACACATGTTTAGTGCAGAGGGCAAAATGAGCCACACCAGCATATTTGGCCCGATGCGGAGGACATGGAAGCAGCGGGGAACTGCATAGGAGACTTGCAGAACCGCTACAGCCTTGTCCTGGGAAGGCCGTTGGCAAAGAACGAGCCTCGCTACCGCAAGCTGGCAGCCTTTTCAGACTCTTGCTATAATCTCCAGTGAGCGCAATGTTACCCGTACACCACGGGCCTTTCTGGGTGCAGTGCCACTTTGCTATGATATTATCACATTATGAACTCGATGGATGGTTTCATGCTTGCCTGAGCTCCTGAACGTTTAAGAAATCTTCGGCCAGTGAAAGCATGTGAAAGCAAAGATGCTTTTGTTGGAGGTCGACACCACTGCCCCTTGTAGTCCGTACTAGTAACAAGATATAACAACATCCACCCGTCAAGATACTGACTATTCCAAATACGTGCGAAATGGGAGGAAACGTGTGGAAACGTGAGAGGAAGTCTGCGCAGGGAATCGTGAGGTTGCGAGTTGAGGTGAATGTCGCTGTCGGGATTGGCGTGTGAAGGGGCTGGAGATGGTTGGAGTCGCGAAACTGCTTGGCAGGGCTGCTTGATGTGTGCTTCGATGGGGGTTCCCACTTGACTTTTGGAGCAAGTCTCATGCAAAGCGCTGTGACGGCTGACTATTGGAGACCTTCGTCGTAGTGCCCCACAGGCCCACAAGAGTGTCCAACAAGAGCGTCCTACAAGAGAGACTTTCCCGCAAGAGTGTCCCAAACAAGTACGAGTGAGTGTCGTACAAGAGTGTCCCACAAGAGTGCCGCGCAAGAGTCTTCCACAAGAGTCTCCCACAATGACCTACAAGAGTGTCCCACAAGAGTGTCCTACAAAAGTGACATACCAGAGTGTCGGGCAAGAGTGTGCCACAAGAGCGTCCTACAGTCCTACAAGGGTGCCACACAAGAGTCTCCCAAAAGAGTGGCCAAGAGTGAACTTGACCAAAAGTGCATGATGTTGCAATGTTGTTTGGAGACCTCACTGAACACCGAGCACTAGAGCCCGCCTGACAATCTAAGTGTTCATTCTGCTCTTAATCTAGTTGGGGGATTGTGGGAACTGATTCCGATCTGTGTTCTACATGTATTTTCCATATGCTTTGGACTGATACCGTTGCCCATTCAACTGCCAGGATAGAAGTTGTGGCCAAACAGCCCGTGAGAGGGTATCAGATTTCGTCCGTTCAAAAAGTCGAACGGGCAGCTGGGACCTGTGTGGTTGGGTGGGACTAGGAAAGGTGCCTTCTTTTGACCACCTCCAGCTCCAAAAGAAAACCGGAGTTGCAACGCCCAGCCTCATATTCGGTCGTGGAAAGCCCAACCTCACATTCGGTCGTGGAAAGGCAAACATTTGCCAGATATATTGCCGATGCTTTGCCAAAGATCAGCATTTGCGGCTAATTTTTTTGACCCGATTTCCACTCAAAGCCTAATTGTTCTCACGAACGATGCAAACCGTTTTGCTTGTAGATGGGTCCTGTGATGTCCTTTGAAAGACAACCGGCTAAATCCGGTTTATACAGGCCGCTTGTGGGGCCTCTTTCCAGCTTCGGAGCGGGGAAGTGGCCTAATTCCAGTGAATGGCCAAGAGACTTCCAATGATTCCAATGATTGTGGAAATGGAGCTCGGCCGCCTTCATTGCAAACCGGCTGCTTTCCGCTTTTGGCTATGTTGTTTGCAGCTGTGATTTGGGTTGTGCCAAGGCAGGCACCGCACAAAGCAAATTATGACGGGGAGACACCCCTGCTTTGCGCTGTGCAGAAGGGCCGCCGCTGGCCTCAGGGGCAGAGGATCAACGAAAATGAAGGACAGTATTAGACATTGATAGTCCTCTCAACGGAGTCCTTTAATGATACACTTCTCAGTGGGTCACCTTCGCTGTGAAGCCATCTCCCAAGGTGAGATGTCCGCGTCACTGGTTTCTACATATCTTAGGTCGGAGCATCCTGAAAGCCCTCCTCTCCCACCGTGCTGGTGCTGCCAGAACCTCAGCCTCAGTTCTTACCTTCTTAATTTTCTTATTTTGCATGTCACATACACAAGGCAGCTACCTACCCAATATGCCAAGCTCAATGCCAGTGGGTAGTAGATTGAACAGTTGATGCGTATTGATGCAATGCGCAGCCACATGCGCCTGTAAAAGCCGGATGTGGAGGAACTTGGCCAAAATTGAGTTGCATTGCTTCGCACTTCGGGATAATGCCAACATGTGCACCAGACAAAATATACCAAAGCATTTTTGCAAAAGAAGGGTCGGGCTCGGGCTGTTTGGTTGCAGTCACCAGCGGCCTTTCCGACCAAAACTACATTGAAGCCCATATTGTAGCAAAGACCAGGGTTTGGGGATTGTTACATCTCTTGCGTAGTTCAGGGCGTTAAGTTCATGTCAATGTAACACGCACGAGGAGAAAAGGAACAACAAAACAGTTGCAAAGTGAACGGAGTTGAAAGGGAAATGAACAGATTTGAAGTGTTTGTCCCAGAGTTGATTGTTCAGCAGGCAGTTCAGTTTGTAATTGCAGCCTAGCTAGTCAACAAGAAATGTGCGCATGCATAAGGTTAAGTTATTGCAACCACTGATCTCTTCAACTTGGAAAGGTGATGTGATAATTGTATGGCGGCAAGTTCAAGTTGTAATCTTGCACCGCACTAATCAGCCGCAGTTGAAAAACTGTACCGATGGCTTTTTTGAGGGAGGAAGCATCGGCTTACGTGGAGATCAAACTACACG